CTTCAAACGGTGTTCTCTCTGCTAGTTTCTGTTGTAGAGAAACTGCACTTTGCGTTTCTCCCATGTTCCCTACCTCCCGTGTGTTTATAATCCCTGGCAGAGGATGCTCATTCGCAGTAGAAAAGGCAGACGCCCGTACAACGCCCGTACAACGCCGAACTCCCATAAGCCGCGGTGGGTGGCCAGGTTGGGCTGACTTAGCCCCTCCGTGGAGAAGTTACAGTGCTCCTCTGGCTCACCAGTGGTCGTGAAGATTAACTAGAATTTATTGAAACAATTACAAAATTCTGGAAGGACTGTCTCTGTGTAACATAAGAGCTAATGGAAAATGGAGAAAGAGTTATGTGAATGCTTTTTGTTGTAGCCCAGATTAGCTGACTCTGATGTTGTTTATTTACTCCAAGATGTAGCCGGTTTTGATGGTTTGAAAAATGAAACTCTCTTGTTTTTTGAATAGGAGATTTTACAGAATATATGGCAGTGGTCCAAGACCTTTCGACCTGTCGCAATCAAACTACAAATCTATTTGCCAGATGTAAGATTTATTTGTAATTAAACTAGAAATAATTTGAAACTTGTCCCTTTCTCCTCTGAAGTCAGTGAACTAAAATGTTATTTGTGAGAGTAAAAATGTGATCTTGAAATCTAGGTTCGTTGAAAAGTTCAATGAACTGAAAGAAGAAGGAAAAATTGAAGAAGAAAAATTGTTTGAAGAAACAGGAAAAGCCCTTTTAGCCAGTGGGGTAATTTTACAGAGGAGAGGAACAGATAAAGTAAGTATTACATATTCACAGAGTGGATTCAGAAAACTTCACTCCCAGGCCCTTAACGTAGAGTTAGTCTGAATTAAATTCTCCACAAGGCAGTCATGTGCCGGATGGTCGTAATAAAATGTCTTTGCTGTGCAGAGTAACCTTTCCTCTTAGTCGTGAACGTGACTGGCCAAGGTTGGGGTACCTCGTGTGGGACAGAGCAGAGAAGTACTTGTGCTGGTGATGAGAGATTTAAGTCTTCAGTGCTTTTTATATGAACCGTTTTGAAATATATATGTGTATTACTGTATACGTGTTATCTCCATACAGTAACGGGGGGTAACTGAGAACCTCTTCTGGTTCAAAGGCAACTAACACACTTTCCCATCCCTTTTCAATAGTTAATTAGTAGCCTAATGCACCTTCGCTCTTGTTCTTTAATCCTGATCCTGAACTGGAATGTTTTGCTTAAGTCTTGGAGTTTGGCATTTGGTTTTGTTTGTTTGGTTTTTTTAAAGGTATTGAAACAGAGAATTGAGGTCTGGGGGTTGTTTGTTTATATTTTTGGCAAGAAAATAACTGTCTGAAGTGTTCTGCCACTGCTTTTTGTTTTTCCTGATGTACAAGAGGGGAAATGGCTCCTGGCTGCCCTGTGACGGTTGGAAATCCTGTGCCTTGTTCATGACTAGCTGATTATAATTTCTTCTGAGAATGCTGTCCTTTTAGTTGAACACCCTCAAAAAGAAGGGAGAAGAGCTGTTTATAAAAGTTGCAGTTTTAAACTGTGCTAGCTGAATTAATGTATTATTGTCTTTTGTAATACACCCTCCATTCTCCTCGTTGTCCAACGATCCCTGGGCCGAGCGTCCCTAGTGCTTTCCCCAATAAAAGAGGCTGAAGAGGAACAGAAATTGGTTCTACTTAAAGTGTGCTGTCCAGTGAGCCTGTGAAAAGATGAAATCAGTAACTTACTTTCATCTTTCAGCTTGAGGTCAGCAGGCTCTTTTTAAATGTCTTGCCCTGGTGATACCTTGACGCTGTATTGTACCTTCACAATAATCTAAGCATGAATTAGAAATTTTTTAAGAGCTTTTTTTGGACATACGAACTGGGGCTGTCACTTTCTATTGCTCTCTTCAGTCACGCTTTGACAGAAACTTTTTCCAACCCTGTTTTTTGGTAATCCTTGTCTTGAACTGTAGGTAGCACGACAGGATCATCAGGAGGTTGAAACCAGGGATTCCATGTCGCACCTGCAGCTTCAAACTGCATTGGGAGAGAAGAAAGATGAGGAGGAGCAGACGCCAGAGTTGGCAGAAACTCAGAAGGAAAACCCCTCACCCTCCTAACAGCCGTGCTGTTGTCTTGTAACGCTCAGCCGCAGCGTGTGCCCTGGCTGCGGCAGCCGCCTGCTCGGGAGCCAGCATTTCTGCCGCTGCATCCTGGGGGCTGTCAGATGTCTTCTTACGGGGAATATGCCTCAGTTATCCGGCTGGGGCCTTCCATGATCGTGTTTGTGGCACGCATTCTTGTTCTTCCATCTCCCCATTTCTAAAATTGGAGATAATCCCCCTTTTTTGAGGTTCAAGAATGTTATCTCAAATAGTGAGTTGGACAATAAGAGAGGAAAATTAAACATTTTCTTTAGAAATTGGAAGTCCTGTCTCTTCAGGTGTCTTATTTACAGTAGTAAAGGTGTTTCTTAACTTCTTGTGCCTGACGGTACAGGCCTTGTGGCAGTCCTGCTGTGGAAATGGCAGGTACCGCTTGCCTGATGCGCTATAACAGCCGCTGAAGTGTCATCTTTTTATAGCTAATTGAGGAGAGTTGCTATTTATATAAACCTAACAATGTGCTCTTCCTATTCTATCATTTGCTTAAAGTCAGATGAGGGTAAAGTGTAACAATACCAGATCATTTGGACCTTTGCAGGTTTTTAATGACTGTTCAATGAAATTGGTCCCTGCAGAAGCGTGGAAGACGTGGCGTTACAGCCACTCACTGGAGAGCTGAGTGCTGCTGCAGAAAGTCGTGGAAACTTTGGCATAGAACAACGTAAGAAAATCAATCTTAGTAGGCTTGAGAGCCGACTGGAATGGCATTCTTCCCATGCCTGCAAACTCCAGCAGGAGTAAAATTTACAGGTGTAAATCACATCAATCTCCTCTCTCCTTCCTCGTCTGCATCTCTCCTACCAGGCAAAGGGGGGATTTCCTTTTGGGTTCATGCCTGTCTCCCAGACATATTCTCTGCAATGCCGTTTTGTGACACTGCTGCTGTGTGTGATGCAAAAACCCTCTTTTAGGAATCCGTACTGTGTGGCAGTGAAAGGGAGGATTTAAAAACGCCCATGGTTTGGTTTTGTGTGGCTTGGTTCACTTCCTGGTAGCAATGTAATTACAGTAGAATTACTCAGTTATCCTTGGAAGGTCAAACTTTATTCCTAATTCTGCTCTGTAGTTCTAGAGGAGCGCGAGGTTTTATTACAAAGAGCAAAACCCCTCCGTCTTAGCCGTAAGCTCTGGGGGATCGGTTTCCAGAGCTGCCCTTGGTTGCACGTTCACCTGCCTGAGTGCGGTTCTTCCACGCGGAGCAGGAATTACCGCCTGACTCGCTAAATCCCTCCGGAGCAGCCCCTCAGAGGGAATATAGTGGATGCACCCACCTCCAGTTCCTAAGTTCGGAACCACCCTGCTGGGTGAATGGTGGGAGAAACGTTAACGTAAACAGGACAAAAATGCAATAAAATGGGGTTCAGTCTGAAGCAGCACAGGAGAGGAGACGTACCGCCATTAAACCCCTTTGCTCCTCAGCAGGCAGCCTTTGGGTGGGGGATCCCTCGGTCGCAGCGGTCTCTGGTTTGGCTGAGGACCGGGCAAGCTGCCTTCCTCAGGAAACCGCTGGCAGCTGGGATGTGAATTTCCCTCCTCCTGCCCAGTTTTTTTTTGCCTGGCCCAAGCGACTATCGCCAGCCCAAGGGCAGAGTGACCAACAGCTCTGTGTCTCCTGTGCCGCAGCTTGGTGTCTTTCCCTTTCATGGATTTCTACAGAGGTAAAAATTTTGTGTCCTGTTTTGTTGGTGATGCTCTTAGCTTGGCAAAATTTGCAAAGGGAAGTACTTTAAAAGGAGAAGTAGTGCTATGTAGTCAAATGTAGTAACACATGAGAGATTTCTCACTTGCTTCATTCACAGCTTGGTGGTCTCCTGTTTGTTGCCACTTCACTAAAAAATTGCCAGCATTACTTCAAGAGCCTTTTCTGCTAGCATCTGCGGTAACTAGCTTCATCCTTGCATCTTTACTGAGCCTGGTTGTGTCTTCCTTTAGATATCTGAAGCAAATTGAGCAATAACACATGACATGTAGAATACAGACTAGAGCGGCAGCCTTGCAGTGTGCCCTGAGCGAGTTCCTGTGCAGAGCAGACAAGAAGAAGGTTGGAACTAATTTTCTCTTTCATTCTGTGTTGGAAAAAGTCGCTGGGGCGGCTCCCCAGGGCAGAGCACTCCCAGCTGGACCAGCAGCTCTGCGACAGGCTCGGAGGGGGAGCGGTTGGATTTACCCCAGGTGCAGCTCTGGCCCAAAGGGTAGGAGGAAGAGACCGAGACCCCCTCCTGGTTTTTCCTTCCCCTTGTACTCCCGAATCGTGATGGTGGCTGTCCGGCTTCTTAACCGTTAGTTTTTGTGACCACACTCGAGAAAGGTTTATTGCAACTTGCCCTTCTGCTCGGAGCCCAAACCCGGCATGCCCGGTAGCCAAACTCTGACTTAGAAGGTGCGAAGAAACTTGGATTCGTGCAGCAGCGGTGTGACCTGGCTGTCGGACGGGACGGTGTGATTGTAATCCACGCTTTGCCAAACTCCTGTATAAAGCAGTTGTGCACTTGACTATGTGCACGCTGTTGTTCTGAAGCAGGTACGTGGCCAAATTAGCTGGAAAACTTGGGCATGTATAAGGAAGGATACACTTTTGGTGGGGCAGCAGGAGTGGTGAGGGAGGCTGGAAGCCCTCACGTGGTGTAAATCAGGACGTTATTTCGTGGAAGCTCGCAGGGCAGAGCCAGCCTGCGTGGGTGGCTGGGCACAGCGGTGGGGACGCTTCCAGGCGAGCGGCTCTGGATGGAGGAGCAGTTCGAGATCTTCTTCTGTGCTGCGGGTTTGTTACGGCCGGTGGGTAACGGGGAACCTGTTGGGTAAAGGATGTCAACTCGAGTATTTGGTGCAATTAGGAGAAAACACAATCAGGACCCGAGTTCTGTGTGTGTTTGATGGATGCATTCGCTGGGCCGGGATTGAAATGCCAATCACCGTGACCTTCGAGTAACTCAACTACTTTAATTAAAAGGTTTGAGCGAGAGCCTGGGGTGAGCTATTTATTATTTATCAAGCG